TGCTAAACCCTTACGAATCAGTGGGTGACGTAAAAAAACTTGATAAGTTTAATGGTATGTTTAACATTACGTAAACTAACTAGGGATGTCTATGGTCTCATGGTCTTGAGTCTTAGACCGAGACTGATCGAAGATATCATATGATCAGTCCTAATTTAAAATAAAGTTATAAGACTCACGGTCTTAAATAGGTCCTGAGTTTTAGACCAGACTTAATCAAAATTATAATCAGTTCTAATTTAAAATGGAGCTATAAACTAAGCATAACTAATATATATGCAATTCAGAGTCTAAATTTAATTAAATTTTACTTTTGTTAAGATTTAAATCTTTCATTTTCAACGTTTAAATCTTTCATAATTCTTTCATTATGTTAGAAAATTCTGATACTGAATCAACTATATCTGAACATTCAAGTTCTAATGAAGAAAGATTTCAGCATGACAATTTTATTTTTGATAATAATAATCAAAAAATTACAGATAATAAAGAAACTATTTCTGAAAATTTCGAAAACTTCGAATTTGGAAATACCATACAAAAATCATCAGTTTGGAAATTTTTTGAAAAAACTTCTAATGGAATAAAATGTCTTATATGTTAACCTTCCAAGTTCATGTCTAAGAAATCATCTATAACTACATTAAATTGACATATAAAGGCATATCATTCATCAAACGCTCAAAAAACCTAAACAAATAATTCAAACATTACATCACATAATTCAATTATACGAGCCGAAAAAACAAAAGCAGTTATTGAATGGATTATTCAAGACTCAAAACCATTTGCAGTTGTGAATTTAGATTCTTTTAGAAATATGCTTCAAATAATGGATCCTCAGTATATTGTTCTATCACGTCAAACTATTCAACGTCAAATAATAATACAATTTGATGCAAAACTAGAGCAAGTAAAAAATTATATCAATTCTTTTATGACAAAAGTAGGATTAACTACTGATATTTGGACATCAAATAAAATGGAATCATATATGGCTATTACCATTCATTTTATTGATCAAGAGTGGAAAATGCAACACTTTTTACTAGATATATTTAATTTCGCTGATATTCATACAGAAAGAAATATATCTACAGCAATAATGAATTTAATTAAAGAATTCAACTTAACAACTCGTGTACTAGAATTAACAACTGACAATGCTTCCAATACAATTTTAGCTACTCAACAAATAATGGAAACAATAATTTTAGAGGATATAGATGTGCTGCACATATATTGAATCTAATAGTACAAGCAGGTCTTAAAAAATGTTAGTTAGAAATATCAAAAATTCGATATTTTATTAAAAAAATATGTAAAAGTGCATTTCTTATAGATTTATTTAGACATATTGTAAATTTAGAATCACGTGAGTTCTTACAACCAATATTGGATGTTTATATAAGATGAAACAGCACATATGAAATAATTAATCAGGCACTTATCTTAAAAGAAGATTTTAAAATTTTATATTTACACATAAACGAATTAAATAAATTTTTTTCAACAAATAAAGAGTGGAAAATCTTATCAGATCTGAAAGATCTTCTTTCAGAATTTAAATTAGCAACAGATTTGTTAATTTTCGAGTCTTATCCAACAATAACTTATGTTCATATTATATTTCTTGGTCTTAGAGCTAATCTCAATGAGGATTGTGGAAAAAAATATCCATTAAAATACGTTATATCAGCAATGTTAGAAAAAATCGAAATATATTGGAATTTTATTGATTCAACTTCACAAGTAGCAACATTTCTTGATCCTCGATTGAAAGCATTTGCATTTACAAATAAGGAATCTGAAATATTAAATCTTATTCAAAAATATTAAGTAAATTATTCTAGTTCAACATCTCAAGAACAATTTACTTCATATGAACTTCAATCAAAACTTGGTGTATTTATGTATCGACTTTCTAATAATCAATATATTAATAATTTACAACAAGATAAAGTACAACAATGTTAGTCTATGACAAATATTAATAAGGAAATATCTCCATTAGCTTGGTGGTTAATACATAAAAGTGAATTTCTAAATTTGGTAACTATGGCACAAGATTTTTTAGCAATTATGTCTACTTCAGTTCCATGTAAATGAATTTTTAGTATTGCAGGCACAATAATTACTGAAGAACGTAATCGATTAGATCCAGAATCAGTTCATGTTTGTTTGTATTTCAAATCTTGGATGGATCATAATATCATGTCTTAATTTAAACTTTAGAATTTTTAGAATTTTTATTGTTTTATAATTTGATATTTTTACAATTTAATAAATTGATTTTGCTTTTTGCTAAAAAGATTAAGACAAGTTATATAATATTAAAATTTTATGTTATTAATATAAATTATATATAATACAATAATTGTTAAATATACTTAAGACTATTTTAGAACCATGGTCCATCCCAATATTTTTAAAAGACTATTGATCCAAAGACTAAGACTTGATAAGACGAACTATGGACATCCCTAACTTTAGTTTGATCCTGAATTTTTTGGTCACACCAGATTTCCTGAAAGATAATTGGTTAAAGTCACAGATTGGTTGATCATGTCAGCTACAGAAAAAGTAAACAAGACACATACTCTTTACATGTTCCCAGTCGTACAACATTAAACTGATGATGTAATTGGTTCTTGAAAGAGTTGGACGGTTTCAAGTTAAAGTTGTAAGAAGAAGAGAAGTGATCACTTTTTGTTCCCATTTTTTTATCTTCTTTTTTTTTCTTCTCTATTCTTTCTTGAGGACAGAAAGTAGCAACAAGGTCTAGGTCCTATCCCAATTTGATAACAAGTTGAAGTACCAATATCTATTCTGAAAATGATTGAAGAAAAAGATCTTGAAACTATCCACTGGTTGAATGAAGCTATAATTTTAGAAGACATGGCTTGGGAGAAAAATAAACAATACATCCTTTTTGGTTAGAAGTCTTCAAGCATAAAGTTTCAAGAAATACTCTCTTGAAAGTGCCTTTAAACATTCTTGGACATCAATTACTCCATTGGAAATTAAATAGTTTAACTGGCCACAGGTGATGAGAAGTGGGAAACTATGAGGGGCTTGGGTTTTAAGTTCACTAAGATAATCTTTTCAATAATAGTTAGAATAGACGATAGCTTTTTTTTTCTTTTCTTTTTGTCAAAAAATTTCTTTTTTATTTCTTTTCCCTTTGCGTAGTTTTTACAAGAGGGGGTAACACAATTTGGATTTATGGTTGTGACTGTGTAGGTGATCTGCAGGTGCTGATCCTATTGGAAGTTCGGGATCTTAATTCCATCCTTTAGGGAAACAATATATTATTCCCATAAATTGTATCTAAAGGTTTCAGCTAAAGACAGGTAAGTTGGATTAGGAAAATTTGTACTTTGCATGTATTTTCATACGTGTAATAGTTCTTTATAATTTAATAAATATATAACACTAACCTGATTGCAGGATTAAAAAAAAAATAAAATAAAAAATATACAGTATTGACTAATATATAATAATAAATTAAAATATTTATTTATAAGAGTAACCTGTAGGTCCATAGTATAGTGATTAATACTTCACAAATCAAATCACAAAATATCAGTTCAACCCTATATAAGAACAATTAAATAAAATTAATATGATATCTGATACCATAACTTGTAAAAGTACTGTTTCTTATGATAAGTTATTTCATATGCTAATCCAGTAGATGTTGAGATTGTGATTTCCAGAAAAGATATCATAACATGACAATTATTCAATTGGTATTATAATGATTGCCAAAAGTTGCAAGATATATGAGATGTCCACTTTTGACAAGTAAATTTGATGATCACTTTCCCTAATATCTGACATTTTTCATGCAGATCCCTACCCCAATTCAGTAATAAACTGATCTGGTGATACTTATTTTGAGAAAATATCTGACAATAAGTTCCATTCCTTGCAAAGTTATATAAGTTGATATTCAAATAATAAGTACCAGTTATAAGTATCTTGAATATTCTTGGATATTATTTGGATAGTTAAGAAATTAAATGGTTAGCCCAGCTGCAGGTGGTGATAATGGAATTTATTTTTGATGGAGCAAGTAAGGATTCTGTAACTTTATTTTTCATAAAATATTATTTCCAGTACTTTTCTTTAAAATCTTCCCTTAATCCTTTTCAATAAAATAAAGCTTAGTCAATTATCAGTAAATATGTATACTACTGACCAAACAAAAGAATTTTTTTGTTTAGTAGATTAGCCTCTATACCTAATATAAATTAGGAACAAGCTATAGCAAACATCATTATTTGAAGTAATCCTGATAAGAGTTGGATGTTACTAGTGCCAATATGTTATAGCATTGTTTTAGGTAGTATTATCTTAGATAAATATAAACATTTGTTATAGGAATAACTTCCAGCCAAATAATTATCACTGGTGCATAATAATAATAATAATAATGAAAATTGATATTTTGTTACTGTTTTATAATTCTGAATACATTAAAACAAGTTCAATATATACAGTATGTACAGTATAAGGGCAAAATTTTATTTTTGCATAAATGAAATAGACGAGGCATGACTACCAAGATAAAGAGAAAGTTGTAATAATGAAAAGGAAATTGTAATGAAAATTAGAATCAATTAGATAGTGTATCATGGTAATTAGTAGCAAAGCCAACGAATGGCAGCTTCAAACTCTATCAATTAATATAAGCATATTGAACGTGTCGCGTCAGATTTCATACAGAAATATAGTGTACATAAGCTTATTTCAACAAACAAAGGCAATACAATGTAAATTGAAAACAGAAAACAGGTGCAGTGCAATAATAAGTTAGGAGGCTATGCAGTAATATATTATGTATGATGATTCATTCTATAAATATTCTACTAAAAACTATTTAAACACTCGAAGTGATAGATAAAGAAAACGTAGATTACATAAATCGAGTTGAATACAAAAACATTCTATCAAAATTTATTATAATACATGACGAAATTATAATGGAATCCATATTAATTGGTCATTTGCATGTCTTGAAGTAATTTATCCACGTCATCTTCAGCCATTAAGTCTATTAAATAATAATAATAAAGATTAGATTATTTATCAAACAAGTGAATTCAATTATCATTATTTACCAATAGGGTCTTCACTTGCTTTTGCGCGGCCGTTTGATTGAAGTGAATCTGAAATTTCAATATTTCAATATATATTGAAGTTCGAGGGAAAAGGGCAAGTTCTATTTATTTCTTACCAGATTCTTCAATACTATACTCATCTAAAAGCCTATCCACCTCCTCTAAAAGTCCATCTTCCTCTTCACCCGATATAAATGAATACGGTGAAATGCTCCTCGGAACTTTGAGTGAAGATCCAATCGACTCCGAAGATAAGAATGATTCGGGTGAGCCGCTTCTTACGGTGTGAAGTTCCGATTTTTCGGAAGCATTCGAACGCCTTCGGGACGATCTTTCGCCGTGGCGTTTAGACGAAGTTGAACTTGATCTTGGATTATTAGGAATTTCATCATTGTCTGCACTCGCAACATCAACATTTAAAATGTTTTCATCGTTCTTTGTTTTATCGACTTGATTATTACTGTTCGTACTATTCGATATTGAATCGGAACTTTTCGATTTCCTTCGACTGTCTGACGAATGAAAACTCTGGGATTTTCGGTGCTCATTTAATCGCTTTCCAAATCTAGTTGCCAATTTCATTCCGTCCGACATAAGTGTATTAAATATTTCACGTCCAAGTCCTTTGTGTCTTTCTTCAGGTGGCTCGACAAATTGGAATGTCGAGGCAAAATCACTGTCGAAAAACTTCTCGAGATATGAGTTAGCCAGAACAATCATTCGAAATGTGGAAAGCGACACCCGATGATGAGCCTCAGACTCATTTATTGAAGTATGTTTCTGTGAATCAATATTCTTTTCATTGTTTACCACCTCACCAGAGAGATCGCTGAATTCGAAAGCATTCTTAATGAAATTTGACACGGAGCTGAGGTGCCCATCGTCTTGTCGAAATCGAAAGATAAATAAAAAGCTTTCCGACATTTGCAATATTTCCTCTTTCTTTAGGAAACCGTCTTTATCTCCATCGTGTAGATTGAAAAAAAGGTCCATCCTGGACATTATGTCCCCGAAGACAATTTCGCCAAGTCCGAGTACAACGTCTTGCAAGCTTAACCCACCGGAAGAGGATTTGTCAAAGCGATTAAATAGTTTTTCAATAAATTCATATCCCACAAGCCTACGTCCTTGATTATCACGCAGTGAGCCGTCGTGCTTATTCAATTCATCATCTATTTTAGCCCAATTTGCGATACTACCGATAAACCGATAAAAAGTATTCAAGTCCATTCGAGAATCATTTCTAACACTGCGCTGTTTGCCATAAAATTGAGCATTATAATATTTATCATATATCACGGAAATATCATTCTTGGAAAACTTTGAGGTATCACGAAGATTGCGTATTTGACTTCTCTTTGTAAAACTCTCAATGTTGTGAACTACTTTAAGCTGGTGAGTCTTTCTTAACTCGATGACGCTTTCGGTGGTGATACTTTCGAATTCTTTGAAGGCCACAACCATGAGTTCGTTAAATTTAGTTATTTCTCGGTACTTTGGGTTTTTATTGTTGGGGTGTGCAGGCTTATCCAATGATGAAAAGTAATTCTTTAAAACATTTATAAATGCACCATCGTCGTTAATCTCCATAAGCTCATTTCCATTAACCTTTAGGATAGCTGGGAAACAAAAGACGAAACCGTCAATATCTCACACGGGGGTGTTCTCTATACAAGCATTCAGGATGCCTTACCTAATCTGTAGATGGAGAATGATGTTAAACTCTGCAAACAAAAAATGTCATCGTAAGCAGTGCACGTCAAATGGACATATGGAGGTCTTACCCAATTTGAAATAAAACTCTCGGTCCTTCCATGAAAAAACAGTCTAGCACTCGAAAAGCATAGAGAAGAGGCATGGAATTGATATAAAGACTTAGAAACCAAGGCAAACACGCGACAGACAATTGAACATCGACATTCTGAAAATGTTCATAGAGCAACGGCATTTTCTGTTGAACATAGTATTCAAATATTATTTGATCTAATATCGCGCCATACATAGAAGTACTGAAGACAATAAATCAGAAACTTTAATTTGGGAGATTAACCGGAATCGACAAGTATATGCCATCACACGAACGAACCTGTAATAACCGGGTAACATCCGATCACATAGCACACTCAAAGTCCAGAAGGCCTGCTCCTCGCTCATATATCTAGTGATTTAAAATAAATTAGAAAAACGTGAATCTGTAATTTTGAGCAATCGTAAGATATTCACATTAAGATGGCAGATGCAACTATGTTCATTGCCTGACAATAGCCTAACTCAGGGTCCTTCCAAGAATAAGCGGTCAGGACACGTCTCAAGGTGTCTATACCTTCTGGTGTTTGATATGCGGGATACTCGGGAAGAGATCTAGTTGGTAAGCACGGAAGATTTTTAGTGATCGTTCGAGTGAGAAAAGCATGTTAGAAACGTTCTTAGATCACCTGTTTAAATCCTTTTCAATTTCTTCTGTAGAGAGAGACACCTTACCAGCATTTTCTTTGTGCAATTTATCGTATAGTCCTTCATTTACAAATCTTAAGTACATTGCACCGGAGCAAAGATCCCACATTTCACCACGTAGCTTATTTGGTAGTCCGATGCGAACGAGCTTATAAAAGTAGGGATATTTTATGAGCGTCAAATTTCGACCATTTGCTATAAATATACAAAGAATTCGTAAGTCATAAATGAGAAATGAAAAATGAGCAGAATATAGTAAAAAAAAAAAAAGATATGTACTCTTGATATATTCGACCCAAAGTTTGGTTTTATATTTATCTCTTAATCTAAGTTGATGACAAGTGAAATTTTACTCTATCTAACAAAAATGAATAAACAAAACTTAACAGGGCGATCGCTAGTACTTACTTTTTAGCGTCGCCGGGAAAATCAAAAATTAGGCCTAAACCGCCTACGGCAAGCTCTTTTTTTGGATCCAATAACAGGACTTCAGAAGAACATGTCCCCAAGAAAGGCCGTAGATGTTTCATGTGACGAACTTGAGATTTTAGATTTTCCTTAAGAATATTGCAAAACTTTTCACAAGAAGCTTTTGTTCCATTGATGTGAAATAACAGTTTCATTTGGTGCCAATTTAAAATTGAAAGAGCAAGTGCATGTGTTTTACTATTAAGACGCTCCACTCTGCGAACAGTGTATAATGGTACCACTAGACTACAGCTTCTTCCGTCTGTTGATACAAAAGTGAGGTAACCTTCCGAAAGTTGAAGTTTACCATTCTGAGCTTCAGTATCAGGCATGGAAAAGTCGCAGATGCATTCTTGCATCAGGTGTTCCGTCGTCGGCAGGTTAAAAAATATTTGAAACTTTCTATCTCGTTTTTGTTCCTCAAGTCCTTTTTTCAGGGGGGGAACCATAGGGGACATTGGGGGTTCCTGACTCGAAGACACGTCTGTCCTTGGACTCAAATCCTGTTCAAAGTCATACAGCGTCCCCGGAGCAGCATCAATGGCAGCATTTTTCAACAACCTTTGCATAGCTAGGGTGGTCAATTGGACCAAAAGGTCGTATGTCTGAAAATGGAAATCCTATGGTTAATTCAAGGAAGAGTTTACATCATTATAGGGTCTTCTACATTTACCTCGTCGCGATGAAAAAGATTTGAGAAAAAATGCTACGGGTAAATGAATATCGAAATTTGATTAGATCTTGAAACCTTGTGATGTTCTCCATAAACCGTAGGTGACATCAAACCTCTTGGTTATCCTTCGTTATAATCTTTATGGAATCAGATATCATTCCGCGTTTCGATTTCTCCTTGAACAAATTTTGGATGTCCTTCAACTCTATAAATAATTTAGTCTCTATTCCCAATACGAAGGAATAGAAACATACATAGTTCTCACTGATATACATCCACCCCTGACTTATACCACGATATGCGCAAGAGTAGACTAGAGATGAAGATAGCATTTAGATATAATAAAAGTCGACGCGGGATATCAATTATGACACTCACAATTGACCAATCTCTCTGTATGTGCTACGTCAAACGTTTGTCGGAAAGCTCTAGACGCAGATCGAACACTTTCATCCTCGGAAACTTCATCAGTTCCTTTATCTGCGTCATTGAATGCGAGGGTGACTTCAGTGATACATCTGAAAAGTGACTAGAAAATTACATCCATGAATAGTTACCTTGTCCAGTAACCAGGGAGTTGATCTTTGTCACCACAAAATTTTCTTTCTCCGAAGGAACGTCGAGTTTCGACAATCCTTCATTAAAACTTTCTGCAATGACCGAATTCTTTGCTGGTTAGATTATTAGGCATTCACTGAATTAGAGCGAACCTTTGATGAACATACCTTCGACCCATTTCCAGGCATCTTCGATACCTTTTTCGGTCTGTGAAACAGCAATCTGGAGAGAGCTTTGATTTATATCAGATCTAAAGAGTATGCGAAAAGGAGATTGTTTCGTGTCTAAGCTATTATAATATATGAAAGAGGGTGAAAATAAAATTAGAAGTGGGAAAACACGGATTATATTAATTTAAGATCAGGTTCGGTAAATTTAAACGTACACATTTTGTATGGTGCCAATAACACCTCTAAAGAAAGTATTGCTTGAGGCTGCCTTTGTTCGTTGAAGTGTGAAATGTCCATTATATTTGATAACGTCCCAAAAGGGATCGGTAGGATTAGCAGGTGTAGGTAACGTAAAAATCCCGCGTGGAGGATCAATATGATTGTTCATTTAGAAATAATCGAAAGAGACGAACTACACGCTTTGCTGTATTTCAGACCCAATTTGAGTTCATGTTGCACCGCATATCAACACTTTGGTATCGATTTTGATTGGTGGATTCTTCAATGGCACACTTGTCTCGGGCACGTTTTATGAGACACGTAACTGCGACTTGTATCATTGATATTTTAATGATTTCTATATGGTTTGTGAAATCCTTATATTTCTATAAGAAGGCATGATAGGTTAAAATTTTTCTCAGATCACAAGTTTCGTAATAGCCATTGTAACTTTAAGGACATTGGGTCGGTTATAATAGGCAAGGTTTGCCCGATCTACCCATCGGATGATTATTTTGGAATGGATGGGTGTTAAAGGGGAATTGACAGCTGTGAAAAAAAACGCATTCGATGATCGCACTTGTCAAATTCTGGATAATAAGTTTCATATTTAAATGTGAATGCACATATTTATGCATAGGGCTAAAAAATTTTTTTCGTGTTTCACAGACACTGAGAGATGGATGTGTGATGTAAAAATTTATGATTTATTTCTTTTTAAGTTAAACAATAAATAATATTTTACATTTATTTAATAAACAATTATCGATTACCCAGATCCAACACTAATCACGAATCTTGTTTGAGTTCCTTTATTCACTCGCTCCCATTTTTCAGCCTCTTTTTCACGTTTGAGGTTCCTTACAGTAGTCTCCAACTTCTTCTTCTCATCCATTTCTCGGTGCAACAATTTTTGATTATCGCTTCTCAAATCTGCCATCATCTTTCGGAATTCTTTCCTTAGCGTGACGGTGGTGGCAGGCTCAGAATTTGCCGCGTCCATTCCCAAGTGCTTAATCTTCTCGTCCGCCAATTCATTGTCAAGCTTCTCACATTTCAATTGCAATTCGTCTATGTGTACCTGTAATTTTTGTCTCTCGGCGTCAAAGTCAATAAAGTTCTTTGTTAATCTGTCGAACTCCTTGAGAATTCCGTCCAATTCGTTTTGCATTATTTCGGAACGTTTCTCAAATGCTTCTTCGCGCATCGAGAATTGTCTCTGCGCGTCGGCAAGAGTTTCCTTGAGTTTCTTTACCTGAAGTTCGAGTTTTTCATTTGCCGACCTTAAAAGTCGGATCTCTTCTTGTGGTTCACCTCCGCCATCTGACGATGTCTGATCCCCGAGTCTATCAAATCTTGATGACACCACATCTGCCCTGCTTTTCAGTTCCGCGAGTTCTGATTTATACTTTACAATTTCCCCTTCCAATTTATTGATTGTCACTTCCCTTTGATCTAAAGTTCTCGATTTAGATTTCAGCATGTTCTCCAAGTCTACGACCACTTGCGAAACTTTTTCTTTTTCGTTGCCAACGTTCAGTAGATCATTCCTCAATTTTGTTATCGTAAAATCTCGCTCCTTGATTTGTGCTTCGTACTCTTGCTCTTGCGCGGCTAGTTGTTGTTGGAATTCTTCTTTCATTGAAACGCCATTGTCCACAACTTGCATAACCGATTGTCGTTTGAATATGGCCTCATATTTTCTTATGTTCTCTTTCGAAGCCACCAATTGTTCTCTCACCTCTTCTAACTCTTTTAACAACTCTGACTGTTTCGCTCCGCTAGTTTCTGCGCGAGATGTAGCATTGACGGCTTTTGATTCCAAGTCTAGTAGTTTCGACTTTGTTTCTTCGAGTTCATTACGCGTGGATTCCAGTTCGGCCTTTAACTCATCTTGTTTAGGATCGTTGGTGCCACCTCGTGCTCCTTCCAATTGTGATTTTAATGATGATATCTGTTCCATGTATTCACTGTTTTCTTCTCCTAGGTTTTTTACTCGAGATATGAATAGGTCGACGGTGAACTTAGGCTTCCTGGAACCAATACTTCTACTACTCACATTTTTTTCATCTGGAAGTTTCATGTACACCAGTCTCAGTGAATCAACTAACTCATCATGTTCTCGCGTCAACTTTTTCAATTTTAATTCCATATTAATATCATTGACTTTATTTTGGCCTATTCCTCTATCAGAAGTCTTTAGTTCAACATCTCTAATCTTTGATTCCAGATCTTGTACCTGTTGCACTTTTGTCCGCAACTCCGACAATTCGTTCTCCATTTCCTCGATTTTCTTCTTATCGAACTCGGCCTTTCCTAAAGCTTCTTGTAGTTCGTTCTGTAATGATTTTAACTCTCCATCCGGATTGCTCTTCATCGAACTTAACTCTTGCTCTAGTTTATATATGCGAAACATGTACTCTTCCAAGGCTTTTTCCAATGCACCTATGTTATCCGATATGTTTTTATATTGTTCCTTTTGTAAATGCTGCGTCGCCGTGGTCATTGTTGATAAACGATAGAGCGATCCACCTGAATCGGATTCATCGGAATCTTCGTTCTCTGAGTTTCCTGCCTTATGCTTCCGAAGCACTATATCCAATCGTCTTGCAACCTCTTCCAACTCCGTTCTCAATTCAGCAACAGTTCTTTCTCTAGCCTCTGTTGCCGTCTCATCAACTTTTTGTCTTAGTTCTTCAATCTCCTTATCTTTACGTTTTAATGCCAATCTGGCTTCGGCGAGTGTTTGATGTACATTTTGAATGGAATTCTCTAAATTCGAAACTTTATTTAATAATGCCGTATCAGAACCCTTGGAATCTATTCCCATGATTTCGTTGTATAAGTTATCAATTCCATTGACACCCCCCCAGGAATTATTAATGGAATTCTGAGGTATTGGATGAGCTTGTTTCTCTTCCAGCTTGCGAAACCCTGCGCTGAGAACACCAGCCATATGTTGTAATAATTTCCTTTGAATCTCTCCAGCTCTCTGCGTCAACTTCCAAAGCTCAGTGGCAACTTGATCAACCTTTTTGTTAGCTTGCGAAAGATGATCGTTCGCTTGTCTAGACAACCTTTTGTTTGAGGAATGAAGTCGAGCAAGTGAACTGGCAGCTTCCCTAATTTTTGATTCGAGTGCCAATTTCGACGTAAGAGCCGAGATACGTGTCGTCAGTAAAGTATGATCCTGTAAAAGTAGTTACGTCGAATTTTAAAGGTTTAATGGAAATGACACATCACATGATTAAAACTCGATATCGATTACATGAAAGGCATTAAATTGATCAAATCTGTTGGAAGGTTGATTCTTGATAGAAAAAAAAACACGTTGCCCACCTTTTTCAATTCCTCGACTTCTTCCAAACTTAAGACGGTAAAATCTCTTGAATCAATTATCGCCTGAGAGATCAATAATTGCATTAGCATTTCATCTGCAGTGTCCAGAAAAGAAGTCTCGGACAATGATCTTGGCGAAGTGACGGATGTGAGCATGGCTTCAGAAGAAGCCAGCAAATCGTTCGTAAAAGACAACGAAGGAAAACTATTTTTTGGTGATATCGATGGTGAAGTTTTATTACCGGTTGAAGGTAATTCGGTTGAACTCGACGAGATCATTTTATAACCTATTTCGGTTTCATCGTAATATTTTTTTTCGGAGGATGACTCGTATTCGTACGACGAATTTAATGATACCGCATCAGTCGAAGGTTGTATGGAGTTAGTGATTTGTATTGTGCTCTTGACAGGTTGCAGGATGGTTGTCTGTGCCGACCGACTGATCGCACTGGTTGGAGTGCCAGCTCCTGAAGTTTTTAGTGACGACTTTGTAAGTGTCCTTGGTACCTGATTCGCATAATTTCCTAAATCCGTTGCTGTTGTATTACTCTTTTGGGAGGGAAATGAAGCAGGATCTGTTGGAACCGGCTTTCGCTTCGAATAAGACCCCGAAGAGGAAGAAGACATCCTTTCCCTATTCTATGAAAAACTAGCAGCGTACATACGCAAGTGATTCTAAGGGGAACGGGTTTAAATTATCTACATACGCATTGTTACACCGCAGACGAAAGAGGTCAAGCTTGCCATGTGTGTGTCACGGATGTACAAATAACTAAATACACGTACTCAGTTTAGTAAAATGGCTTTCTCGTCAGTGGACGAATTAACCGCGCGTCTCGAGAAATTGGATCAAAATATTACTTTGACACTTCAGGAAATTGACAACAACTTTTCTACGTGTCAACATGCCGTAACCACCAAAATATTACCGCAAATATCTAGATTTGCGGAAATCTCCGAAGACATTTGGGAAAATTCAAAGTTGTGGTGGTCTTTTCTTGAGTCATTAGACTTATCGTCTTCGAATGATAGCACTTCACCGGTCTCCATGGAATACATCAATTCAAAAAAGAAGCTTTTTGAAACCACCCCGGATTCTGTAACGAATAAAAGTTCCGAAGACCCTATCGTTTTCAAGAAGTCTAACATTTCGTTAAAATTGGAATCAAAGAACAGTATAGAAAGTATTATTAATTCAAACAAAAGAAAATTTGTTGACGACAATAACCCATCAACATCGGAAGATAGTAGAACCACAAGTACACCTACTTTTCCTCCTATTTTGAATAGCTACAATTCTATTACATCGACTCCACTACCAAATCCACCTCAATATGCTCATAGGGCCATGCAATCGCTAAACTGGGGTGATAATATTTCTCACACTACTGCATCAACTTCAATCTCTTTGCCGACTTTACCTCCGTCAGACAATCGTAAACCGCAGCCAACTACGTTGATAGAACGCGTAATGCAAAGGCAAAACATTGTGAATAAAACTCCGTTGAAACCTACCAAGGAAGTTGGTGAGAATGTAAATAGGACTGCCACACCTCGTCCCGGCTCCGTCTTTCCACCATCAGCCACGGGCACTGATAGTGATTTTGACTTTACCGATTTTTCGCCACCGGTCACAATTCAGTTTTCGATGGCACCATCAAAAATACTAAAAACTCCTGCCAAACAAGCTGCCAAAATCATTGTGGATGATCTTTTGAGTATGATGAGTCCCATTCCGTCAACTCCAATTAACACAAATAAGAATGATCTTAAATCTTTGAACACGTTTTCATCCGTATTCAATTCTGAAAACGGTCATGACCTCTATCAAAAATATCACATTTCGTCATCATTAAATGCAAAGAAAACGGATCAACCAGTTTCTATCGAAGAAAATGCGAACGCAACGTCAAAATGCACATCTTCTCAAGATAATCCGCCCACTTCAAGGCTTATTGACGCGTTCGCAAGCACCATGAACACGCAGAAAATAATGGGCTCAGAAAACTCATTTACAACTACCGAAAATCCCTTCAACATTTTAGAAAATAAAGAAGAAATTGATCTAAAAGACGATAATGATGATGATGCATTGGGGGATGATGATACGTTTTTCAATATTAAAGCAGCAGCACTTGCTAGACAGCAAAAGCATCAGCAACAGCAACGGCCACAAATAGGCGAAGAAACAAGAACCTTGTCTCATAACATGCGAGATTTATCATTAGATGATGATGAAGGCGAAAGTGAGGATGAAGTTTTTGATTCACCTTGTCCGTCCGGACCGGTCATAAAGAAAAACTAAATACGACTTGATAAACGATAAGAAATCTTGCAGAAATTCATTGGTGCATTATCTCGAAATCTCCTTACATTGTTGTATCCTGGGATATAATTTTTTCGCTTAAAACTTTATTTAGCATACAATATTTGCATCTAATATGATCGACATAGAATGTACCCGATTTCGGCATAAATAAATAAACTATGTAGCTACGCTATTACTGTCCTCTAACTACCGTAAATGTACTTGAGTTCGATTCCTTTATTTACGTCAAAATAATAATAACATCACGGATATCTATGTTATTTCTTATCAACGGACTGATAAAGGAATGTCTAAATTTACGCGATACATAAGTGCATAAATTCCATATACAGACAGGTGACACAATGCAGGATTGCAAACAAATGTTGTAAAATCTTACATGATTACATGCGACAAAGAAATAAAAAAAAAATCTTTTGTTTGTTTACTTATTTAAACAAAAATGTATTACTGAATTTGTGCGGATGTAAATTACATATCAAAAGAATCTCACGAAAGACGTCACATGATAAATTTTCGACATACCTTGTAAAAAAGAAATTTTATTAATATTAACATTTGCTTATCAAATTAATACATATATTGTGTATTTACTTCTAAATAGATTGTTAATCAATAATATAGATTTTATAATTTAACAACATTGTATATCTTTTTTAATTTCTTTTTGGTTCAATTATAATATCCATTCAGATATTGATATATAACTTTAGATACTATTTTTGAATAATACAAGAATGAGCTTTTAAATAACTTAGTTGCTATTATAAGAATCAAAGCTTTAACATTAAATGTAATAAACAAATTGATATAATTATATGTTCTTTTGATATAATATATAAATATAAATATTGTAAATATAAAAAAAATTATAAAATTATAAAAGTTATAAAGATTATAAAGATAACAAAAATTATATCAAGTTTATATAAAATCTTAATCAAAGAAATTTTTTGTTTAAATATTTTAACAAAAGTAATACTGATTATATTAATAAAAAATATTATATAAAATTATAAATACTATATAATTTTATTATAAATTTATTAAAATTTGATATTTGTTATATTATTAATTAATATTATATTAAAATTGTTATCTGATATTATTATTTTTTTTTAAAAAGTAAAGATTCAAATAATTATTAAATATAATGAACTTTTCAAAATTTTTTATAACAATAATTAAAAACTTTAAGCTTTTTTAAATTAAATTAATTTTGTTATAAAAAATTATTAATTATATTAATATAATTACTTCAATTAATAAAAAATTATAAATTTAATTATTCATAAGTAAAATTATTTACAAGTTTTAAAAATATTCAAAATTCAAATATTTTATTAAAAATTAATATTTTGTTAAATATATTTTTACTATTTTATTATTAAATTATCAAATTATAATTTTTAAACTATTTATTAACTTATATTATAATAATTTTAAAATACTTTAAAATATATAATTTTTTTAAAAAAGCTTATATATAATTTAATAATATATCTATATTTATAAAAAAGTTATTATAGAATTATTTTTTAAAGAATATTTGCTTTTTAATAAAAACTTTAATAAATCTATTTAATTTTTTTATTATAAAAATAAAGGTCTTAAAATATAATTAAAATATAAATATTTAAAAATAAAATTATTAAATTATTATATAATTATAAGTAATACGACAATTCCGCACCTTCTTCCATAGGAAGAAAGTAACTCCCTCACTATAAAAAAAAAAAACTCTTTCCGCTGATCCTTTTGCCAACCCAAAAAACAGACGTTCTCAAAAAACTTTTTGTTTTTATGATAATAA